ATGGTGCCAATGTCAGAATTGTCAAAATGATGTACCTTGCATACATCAGATCTTTAGTGGATTATGCTGCACCTCTGCTTGTGTTGATGCCTGAAAGAAAGCTTGGAGGGCTTGAAAAATTGCAGAACGAAACCTTGAGGATAATCCTTGGGTGCCCTCGTACTACAAAGATACTTAACATGAGAAAGGAAATGGCCTCTGCTTTGCAAGCGGAGATGTTTCTGATGGGGGAGAAAGAAACAATTGCGCAGCGCGTCCCGCGGCGTTGCGCGGGCAGTCTGGGGCCATATAAATACTGGGGTAAAGAGGGGCTCTGCCACCACCATTTGGTCACCACTTGGTCCGGGAGACATCTCCCGTCACGCAGGGTGCAGTTGCGCCTCCACAGATCTCCAGTATAATTTTTTGATACTGGTAATGGCTCGAAAGGGCCACCACTTATGGGCTATTCATGCCCGTGCCACCTCTTGGGTGGCTTAATCTTCATCAATCAATCAATCGGGGCTCTGCCCTCACTTCGCCTGCCCTCGCCGCTGCCCTCGCAAATCCCACCCACCTCCCCTTTGCAAGCGGCTGTCTTTGTTTTCCCTGTCATGCTTTGAGCCAGTTGTCTCTCCTGTTTTCCCCACTGCAAGTGGGAAGTGGGGTGCAGCGCCGGTCCCCAAGTGTCCCGCTGTCCGCAGCTAATACTTTGCCCAGTCTAGGTGCTAGTAAGCCCTACTTTTAATCAGGAACCCCTTCTCCTTATTCATTAGGTCTTTACGGCCTCTTGGTCGGGTCCATTATGTGTTATGTGGTCTCTCACTTATTAGTTACTCTTTGTGTCCTGCCTGTTATATCCTAGTGTTATATAATTATTACACATTTGCCCTCGGCCTTAATTCTAGTACCAGTTAAGCAATTAGGTTTCTGCAGAATTCGTTTACCATGTCACTAGGCTAAGCTTATCTCATACTTACTACGGGTGTACCTTTTAAGTTAAATACTAGTCCTCGGACTTGGAATTGTTACTTTTGTTAATTCTTACTTTATATATCTACATGTTCTGCAGAATTTATTTTATCAATAAAATTTAAGCCCCATACTGTCAGTATCTTTCTCCCCCTGATCAGAAACTTAATATTCCGAGCGTCGTTGATCGTGTTAATGAAATTGTCAAAATGGTATAAAAATGCTTAGGCTAGCTCATCCTAACCCTTGCACAGAAACCCTCCAGAATTTCTTTATTGAAGGTCAGCATTGTTCCAAATGGATAACAATAACTGGAACTCAACTCAGAATGTATCAGGTTCATGATTTGTACCAAGAGAAACAACAACGGCACTTTCCTGCACCGTGGGAGGTTACACCCTTTCCACCCAAGAAGCAAATTAGAGATCAGCCCAAGCTTCGTCTCGAGGCAAAGCTCAACGCCTTAAGCCATATTGATGCTCTGTCCACAGAGCATATTCTCTTCCTACACCGCACCACGGGTGCAACTGGAAGTGCAGTTGTCCTGACAATGGGCGATGGCATGTACTTTGAGTGGGGAGTCCGTGTAAACAATTGGGCCTCTACCCTTCAGACCGAACTATTTGCCTTGATCCTTGCACTGAAATGTGTACAAGTCTCCAAAATTGATACATTAATTGTGACTCTTTTGTCATCCTTAATTGCTCTCAACTCTAAGACATAACTGTAACATGCTCGCGTCTGAAGCTAAACACAAATACAACAAAATTATTAATGATGGTAACAGAGTCCATTTCATGTGGACTCCATCTCATATTGGCCTTCGAATGCATGATAGAGCTGATGAGTTAACCAAAGAATCTGCCTTTAAAGGAGCCGTTGAGTGTAACCTTGGATTGTCAATGAGCAATCTGAGAGCAATAGTACACCAAGAACTTTAACAAAATCTTGTAGCTCTGAGGCAAAGTGAAATCGACACCAGTAATTCCATCTATCATTATACTATCATGCAAGAGGAATCACACATCTATGGATCATCCAATAATATCAGCAGACTTCTAGATGTTACTACTGCTCGGCTTAGACTTTGTTGCATGTATCTCTGGGAATTCTTATTATCTGCTGATGTAGACCTGACCAAATGTAAACTGTGTCAACAAAATTATTCGCACACCCTCCGTCACTATGTGATGGAGTGCGAAAAGATACATGAATTCAGAAACAAATTCTATATCAAATGTTCCAAAGGGTGCCTGACAGCTGGGTGGACAACGTTTTGGATTTATAGTCCTGAGGTTTCGGGTTCGATCCCTGATGGAGGCGGAGACAAATAAGCAAAATGTATCTTTCACCCTGATGTCCCTGTTACCAAGCAGTAAATAGGTACCTGGGAGTTAGACAGCTGCTACGGGCTGCTTCCTGGGGTGTGTAACAAAAATTTGGCATGGTCGAGGACTGGGCCGCGGGGACGCTAAGCTCCGAAATCATCTCAAGATGTGTAAAATATTTAATTCAAAATGATCTACCAGAAATCTTAGCCAAGTATACCCAGTTTGCTAACTGTAGGTAGTAACTAAGTGATTGTAACCTATCCACTGCTGCCCACTGGATAAGGGGCTGTGTGCAGGACAAACATATATTATGACAATAGCTCTCCACATATGTCAGTTGCTTAATTTAGAAACTGTACTTGTGGTCAATATCGAACCTATTGATGATGTGACGACGTATATTGAATTTTGTAACTAGCTCATCAAGATTGTAACTTGCTTAACTAAATGAATTGTGGGGTTCAGTCCCTGAGCCCATTATGTGCCTCCAACCCTTTCCACTACTGCCCACAAGATGGGTATGGGGTGCATAATAAATGAACTAAAAACATACCACAGCAGGCTAGAGGGGAAGGAATCCCCTCACCCACCGGCAGGCGGCACACAGAACAATCCTCATCCACCGGCAGGCGGCACACAGAACAATCCTCATCCACCTGCAGGCGGCACACAGGAGCACCCTCACCGTATCAAAGAAACTCATCAAGGGGGCCATGCAAGGAAAAAGGCTTCCCCTCCCCCCACCATTTCTAAGCAGACCACAATAAACCAATTGAGCTTTATGTGCCTGACAATGGGAAACAAGGTAAGATAATTATCAAAAGAAGGCACCAAACCGGGAAGGCTATGTAGCACCATCAAAACAATGAATATACATTATATACTAGGTGGTGTACCCAGCATTGGGCATCCATTAACGGATAATAATGCACCAGACATGGTGCCCATATTTTTTTTCCTTAGGCCTAGGAAGTAAACTAAGGCCTCCAGGATTTTTCTAACATGCAAACAACTGTCAGGTCTTTAGTGATGAATGACGTCCAGATAGAACCGGTGGGACTGTTTAACATTACGGGGTAAACTCAAGTCTCCCACAGGGAATCGAGGCCCAAGTGGCCATCGCTTAAGAGTGATGGGATCAGTACAAAGGGTTAAGAGCAAGAACAAACAAGAATTTATTTATTTATTTGTGCAAAACTGAATATACTCCAGAAAATAATATACCTTCCCTTTAAATATTACATACAATAAATGCTATACGATACAGGTATTTGGAAAATACATATTAAAATGGTTTAAAGGGACAAGCATGAAATTGCTTTGTGCATACAGTTTAAAATTAATATTTGCTGTACTGTGACACATGAAAATGATCCAAAGATAACCATACCATTATGTATAAACCATTATATTATACAACTTCGTATTACAATTTGCAGCTGAAAAGCTTTTACTACTTTAAACTTTATTTGGGCAAATATATATAAAGGTTAAAAAGTTGTTAAAATGTAATCAAACTAAATACAGTATTTTAATTAGTCCATTATTTTAACTGCCCTTTTTGCCCCATGCACAAAAAATATTTAAATCAAACGAAGCTCTATTAATAAAAAGAATTAATTTGATTTAACAAAACAATTGCTCAAATCTACATAACTTGCCATACTGTATTAACTTTAATATTGCAACAGAGGTTTAACAGCAAATATGGTACTCTCCTTGCACAAAACAATGGCAAAGGAGCAGAGGAAGAATCCTCATACAAAAAATATATCAAACGTTAAATGTAATGAAACACCTTGTTGGAGGGACCTGCCGAGGAAGGTGCCTCCAGAAAGTAATTATTGCTAGCACAGTTTGGCTAAAGCCAGACTCTTGGAGACTTTTGAGACGAATAATTAGCACACAGACATTTCAAGTTATACATAACAGTCTGCAAAGCCCAGAGGTGGGCATCACACACTTAAACTCCAAGGTGTTACCTCTTCGTGTCAAAGTACTAAGGGTTTGTTAGAAATGCTAAACAAATTTGCTCTAGAATTACCATAGATGCTGGCTTATTTAATGGAAAACTATATTAGTAAGTTACATCACACATTTATAGTGATTTTCAAGTGGCTTTGTGGGTGGGAAACCATGGGACTTTTGTACAAATACAGTATATATATTCAGTTGGTGAGGGAGCAAACATGTGTCCCATCCACTGGCAAAGCCAGTGTGCTACTCTACTTTTTTGCCCTTCATGCAAACACTGCCACTATAAAAACCCTTAGTACAGTAGTTATGCTTTGATTTCAACATTCTTTATCGTGTTCCTTTGGTCTTGAAAAACAAAATGGTATTCAAAACGTACTTAATCGATAGGAGAGATATTATATATATATATATATATATATATATATATATATATATATATATATATATATATATATATATATATATGCGAACAAGCCTGAATGGTCCCCAGGAAAACTTCTGGGGTGTGAGTTTTCAGTTATATATATATATATATATATATATATATATATATATATATATATAATAGTAGGCCGAGAAGTGCTTGCACAATCAATAAAAAAAAAAATGAATTTTAGAATATCAATTTGCAGCCAGTTCATTTGTTATTGCATATACTGTACTGACAACTTGCCACTGATGTAATTGGCATAATCTAACTCATATTTATGTAGAGAACTTAACAGTGATGAGTGTTTTCAATAGACATGTCCCTTATCCATACTAAAATAAGAATCATTAACAAATTCAAAGAAGCATTATCCTCATTTACTTCCTGCGAGTATTACATCTAGCAACTTACTGCTTGGAATTTTTATTGAATCATACACTTCAAGTATAAAAAAAATCCAAACTTTGCAAATTCATAATGGATCATGCTTCACGAACCAAAAGTAAACTTCAGACGTAAACCTGCGACAACAAAACCTCCAATCTACAGTAATTATCCAAGAAGTATGCATACACAATGCTACAATACTTCAATTCAAACTTGATAAAATTTTTATAGTTTTATACATGGAATAGATATTTTGATGTATGTTCACCTTAAGGGGAAAAAATATTGTAATTGTTGCTAAACTTTGAAGTATTACAAGAACTACACTAAAATGACCTGCAGCAGCCCTTGGGTGGCACGAGGTGGCACAAGGCACCAGCCTTCGGGTGGCACAAGGCACCAGCTCTCGGGTGGCACGAGGCACCAGTCCTCGGGTGGCACAAGGCACCAGCCCTCGGGTGGCACGAGGCACCAGTCCTCGGGTGGCACAAGGCACCAGCTCTCGGGTGGCACGAGGCACCAGTCCTCGGGTGGCACAAGGCACCAGCCCTCGGGTGGCACAAGGCACCAGCCCTCGGGTGGCACGAGACGGCAGCCCTCGGGTGGCACACGTGTAGCTCTATTACACAGCACAAAACATGACGGGTGTAGTGTCTCACAACCGAGCCATCAGTAATAATGGAATGCTGTACAGTACATTAATAATTCCTGTCACGTAGAGAAAACTTGACAAATGTTTAAAAAAAGTAGTAATGTGCACTAGAAACCGCATAGTTCCTTTACAGTACATTCACTCTTGAGCAAACTCCTCCTATGTCCTTCCTAAGTAGTGTATGTCGTACAGTTTGCCAACGACCTTCGACGTTTACACACGTTAGCAATAGGCAGAGTAAAAAGTTGAAGTTGTTCTTTTGCGTACACACTTTCATGTTTGATGACTACATAAAGCAAACTGTCAAATTACCTACATTTACTTTCAACCAAAATGGCTCCTTTATTGAAGACAGAAATCCAGAACATTAGGACATTAATAAATCCAAAACCTTAATGATAACCAATAGTAGTTTTTTTTGGTAAAAATGTAACATTGCCATAATGTATTATGATATTATAGAATAATATACTATATTATTACAATATTTTATTATACATAATTATGCTATATTATGCTATAATATAAAATATTAGGGCTATACAAATTATATTATACATATATATTTTTTTTTTACTTATTTTATATATGTTTTAATGTTGTACACATATACACCTCAGTGTACTGCACCTTCTGTAGAGTAATTTTATACATTTTTTTTTTAATCCATGAATAGCGCACCTTTGATGACTTAACAAAAATACAACACGTCATTTACAGACCTCCAGAAGTCTATCGCACCATCTTAAGTACCAGAGGCCAAAACATGGTTGTTAGACCAAGTGTTTAGGCTCTCAAATACATATCCATCAGTTGCAACATTGATCTACCAGTCATCTACAAGTTCCATACATGGCTACTAATAACCTCCGAGAGACTGATCCACGTTTTCAAAAAGACTGATTATGAGACCAATTACCGACCGCACGTACCGATTATTTGACGGTGCCGAGCAGCGTTGGGCTCTCCCTCCACAAACTGATGTTACCATATCACAGGTTGTTGGCAAACAAAATATCGTTTGCATTTATTTACTTATAATTGACTTAGGTGAGCCAGTATGGAGTGTACAATATATAGTCTTGTAAAATATATTCTATTTCCTTATTAACACAAATCTTTACAACAATTTTATATACTAACTAAAAATTTAAGAATCAAATACAAGGAAATAAATAAAATATCACAAAATATCTTTTTAACAAATTCAGTATTTGCCAATAAGTACCATTTCCAAAAAAGATACCAATACTCAAATATTTGTTTCCCCAGTAAAGATGTGCTCACCAAGTTAACTAAAATTACAAGATATAAAAAAATAATAATCCCTGTTTAATGTTATTTTCTTTAAAACACTGATATATTTATTCATATAGACAATGACAGATCTTGTTCCAATTTAGAATTGGAGAGGAAAATAACAATACTCTACTCAATTTTGCTTTGAAAACATACAAATTTCACTGGTTTGAACACTAATGACTAAATTTAGTATAGCAATAGAAATTGCCATAAATCCATAATGATTATGAGGATTATCTTTACCCATGAGGGGTGAACTATTATTATTGATATTATAAATGGTTTTTAAATATTTGGTTAAATATCATACAAATAGTTTCAATAACTAAATACCTTTGGTTACTCAATAAATCCAGAACTCTGTTGACAAGACAAAAAAAAAAAAAATAGCATACAGAGAATAAATCACAATAGTGTGACAGAAACAAATACCCCCCCCCCCCCCCCCCCCCCCCCCAACACCGGAATGGATGTGATGATATTTTGGTCCGTCTTCGACCCTCACAACAGATGAAGAGTCCAGGATGGACACAAACATCATCACCTTCATTTCAAATAGATGTGGCCCTAGTTATTTAACAAAACATTTTTATCACAAAGTATCTTGACACACAGATTATATATATATTATTATATTTGAAATTACTTTACTTTTCAATTGCTTAAACCCTTGAAATCTTTAAAGACTGATTTGTTTTTAATCTGCTATAGAGATGACTATAATACAGCATGTATTAAAAACTATTATACAATCTTACAAAATCCAAAACTTGACCCTACATTTATATTTGTCAAGGAAACGCCTTATATAAATGGTACTAAACTAGTGACGTGTCATAACATTTACTGAATATCAAAACTTTTATAAAACATTTATGTGAACAATCAGTTATTCGTAAAATGTCTTATTTTATAAGAACTTTCCAAGGTTTAATTTCTCATGCTGCAAAAAAGATTTAGTTACTGTATATTGTTCCAAATTGTCACGTTCTGGAATGCTTCACACGATTACACTATATAATAGATCACTGGTTTAATTTTGCATGCTTCTGTGCTTAGTAAGTAAGATTTTAGTATATAAATCCCTAAACCTGATTGCAGCATGATGTAGGATTCCTGTTTTCTTCAACAAGTGCGAGAACTGATAAAAGGTCACTTGGGGATGAGGGCAAGATGGAGGCCAGCTGACTTTCCCAGTTCTTAGTTGGCTGTTGGTGGTGCCGGAGGAGCTCCTCCATCCTGGGAATTAATAAATATACCAAGAGTGAAACATAACATTACTAAATCATGCAGATGATGAGACGAGTCTCAATAACGTGGCTGAAGTTATGAAGACTGAACCACACACCATCAGATGAGACAACAACGTTTCGGTCTGTCCGGACTATTAGCAAGTCAACATAATCGACTTGATATTGGGCCTGGACCATTAGGAACTCTATTGTGTGGACCAATATTAATTTGACACACTCTACTTGATAATGGTCCAGGACGGTCCGAAATATCGTCATCTCATCTTCTGGCGTGTGATTTAGTTTTCATTACTAAATCATGACAACATAAACCAATTGGTTTCCTGTTGTTGGGTGACAAGGAGCCTGTTAACCTTATTGAAGTCTCCTGAGACCAACTACCAACCTTCCCCCAGAATGCATCCCACAACAATGACCTAATGTAGCTGTACCAGGAGAGGGGGTTTGGAGAGTTCTACTCCCTGAGCCCGGCCTAAAATACCTACTGTATTTTCCAGCACACAACATTATTATAGTATTGAGTTGAATTACTGTACTGTGCACACGGTGATACCATGGGAGAGGGCATGTACACACCAGTATGTTTGTTAGTACCCTGTATGTATATTGTAAGATTCAAAACTCCTAACACTGTACATGATGTTGACATACTGTTCCGCAGGACTCTAGAAAACAGGCTCCATCTGGAGAAAAAAAAAATTGTCTGCATCCTTCCAGGCTGTGAGAGCCTCAGTACTGCCAGAGCAACAAAGGTTGGTACATGCAGCTTGGGCTCACAGTACAGCTGTGCAGGTCAGGGCCACAGCACCACTTAATAATGATGAATAAATTAAGTACAGGGTAACTGCAATTATTTTGCGATTATGGTGTCAGATAATCCCGATTCTGTACAACATTCAGATATCAGTGAAAGCAATGAGTTATGCAGCCCAGTCTTCTGTTTTGGTAGTACAGTGGCACCTCGACTTACGACTGCCTCTACTTACAAATTTTCCGAGTTACGACCACAATTTCGTCAAAAAATGCGACTCGACTTACGACCTTTGCCTCGACTAGCGACTTTATTGATACACATATGGGTCGACCGAGCACGTAGTTCTTGGTGGTACTGGCGACTGCCTCAGTTTACCAGAGCCGCCCGCTTGACGACGATCGCGCTTGTATAGAATTTCATTGTTCTTGTGCTCTTTACGTTTATGTTAAAAAAAAAATTATTATATATCACGCCACGAGTCTCAAGAAAGTCAGTGGTAAGGTTCAACCTAAGAAAATAGTTGTAAGTGCAAGCAGTGAGCCACAACCAGGTCTTAGTGGTATGCCTACAAAATGTAAGGGAGAGAGAATACCCCAGAGAAGTCATCACTGCTTGATGTTATAATGGAAGGGGAATCCCCTTCCAAACACTAACACCTCTCCTCCCCGTCTTCCACATGCCAACAAGAGTCTTCAATACAGGTAAGATATGCATACTGTATTGTAGTTAGTACAAAAAGAGTGGCATTTGATATAAAATGTATTTTTGAGGGTGTGGAACGGATTAATTCAATTTACATTATTTCTCATGAGAAAATTTGTTTCGAGTTACGAATTTTCGAGTTGTGACCCTTCTCTGGGAACAGATTAAATACGGATTAAATTCATAAGTGGAGGCACCACCGTACTTATAGTAATGATGAGGACCATAGTACAGTACATATATCGACATACAAGGCAATTAGAAAGTAGAAATCTGTACTATTCAATTTGGACAAACCGAAAATGGTTTTGTATTTATGTTGCAAAGACGGTCTGAACTAACCTAACCTTCCTAGGTTAGGTTAGTTCCTAATACATGCTATTTTGGCTCTCAACCAATGGTCCCAGGGCGAGTGAGAGAGACGGTTGGGCACATTTCCTCTCATCCGACACTTCAGCTCACCTAGCAGTAAATAGGTACCCGAGTTGGGCAACTGTTGTGGGTTGCATCCTGGGAAATCTAAGTATTTGGCTTTGAGGGACCTTAAACCTAAAGCCTCTATTCACCTAACAGTAAATAGGTATCCAGTAGATGGACAATTTTCCATAAATTTCTTTGTAAAGTAGGGGTGCATTTTAAGCAGAGGTATGTCTTAGATGTTGGAAAATATGAAACTTGAAGTTTTGGTGTAAAACACCAATGGAAAATTGTGTGAATTATCAATAAACTGAATGTGAGGGAATTGGTTGGCACCAGCTAAACATTCCACTGGTGTATGTGCCCGGGACACTTGCGGTGCACTGCAGTTTAGGCAGGAAGAGAGAGGAATGTAAAGCGATGAGTGCACGCCTATCCGCTCCCGAAGAAGTATGGGACAACACCTGAAGGAGAGTAAGGGCCTTAGAGCATTCAACTCTGAGGTAAGAGATAATATGGGGGCGACCAAGACAAACAAGTGTCAAAAATCAACCCCAAAAACTTAGCGGAATCCCTGTACACAATGGGGTGACCATAAAGTGACAAAGAACAACACGCTTCTGAGTAAAAGTCATAGCACAAGTCTTAGACGTAGAGAACCTGAAGCCATGATCGGTGGCCCAAGACGACACGGCATCAATTGTAAGTTGAAGCCGGCATTGAAGAAGAGGCGAATCATCACCCCCTACAGCAAAGGGCATGATCGTCGACATAGAGAGCGGAGAAGACGCCTGAAGGAAGAGAGGAAAGAAGACCATTGAGGGCAACCAGAAAAGGAGTAGTGCTCAGAACACTATCCTGGGGCACACCTTCATACTGCTGAAAAAGAGGCACGCAGGCGCGCGCGTGGGGGGGGGGGGAGGAGGAGGAGGAGGAAGACATCCAACATTCATGTTTAGCTGTACGGATGGCCCTACGGGCCACCGCACTCGCCTTCCGAAACAAAAGAAAAGAATCGACTGTCTGCCGGTGGCGTTGTCTCTTCCAGGCTGCATGCTTACAGCGGACAGCCCGAGCACAGTCTGCATTCCACCAGGGAACGCACTTCCGTGGTCCCCGAGAGGAAGAGCGAGGAATAGCGCAGAGGGCAGCATCGAAGATGGTGTCATGAAAAAGGAGGAGAGAGCGAGGGAGAGGCAGAAGGGAGAGGTCAGAGAGAGCAGCACTGAGGGTACGTTCCAGTCTGCCTTAGCAAACTGCCACCTAGGAAAGGAGAGGGGAGAGTGAAGAGAGACCTCAGAAACTCTCCTGTCGAATGTAGGCATGAACGTGTTATGACACAACGTTGCCGAGAAGATCCCGGAAGCACCGCCAGAGGAGGAAGGCCAGAGCCGCACACGCAGGAGAGCAGGGTAGAGGCGAAGGAGGCGCCCCACACCCATGACAAAGGGAAAACCCCGGCGTCCTCCCCATAGCTGCAATTCAGAACACCCCAGGAGTTATGGGGCATGAACTGGAGAGAGGCGAGAGGCGAAGCACCCGAGAAAAAATTACGCAAAACACCAGCACTGGTGTACACCACCCAGACCAAAAACTCCCACAGCGCATGCGCAGGACACACTGTCCGAACCGCACAACCCGCTCTATGGGAAGGTGCCAACTAGGACTACTGCACAAGAAAAGTAGCCAAACAGTACACGACCTGAGTGAACCACTAAATAGAAGAAACAGCCCATCACACGGGACAGAAGCCAAAAGAGGAACAAGCAGCAACAACATAGCCGGCTTACGAATAGAGGACAAGGAATCCAATTGGGAACCCAATTGGGCTACAAGTAGCCCAATCTGGCGTCCCTGACTAGGAGTATGCAAAGAAAACGAGCAGTGCCGAGACAGAGCATGGAGAGAAAAGACAGCACAAAAGAATGAGACGGGACCAAAAACCAAGAATAAGCATAGAAAAGGATCAACAAGCCCTAGAAAGGACTGGAGGGAACCCACACTGAAAGACGACAGATGTTCCAATAATACGGGAAGTAGCGAAAACCTTCACGAACCCTCGAGAACACAGAAGCAAGCACAAGTCACAAAAGCACATAAAGGCACAGTCGCACCCAAGACCAAAAGTCATGCAGAACCCCAAGAAGAGTGAAACATGATGGAGATATCCCGTCCCAAGAAAAAAAGGGGGAAATAACGGAGAAGAGGACCCTAGGTGGGTCCGAGGCGAGGGGGGAGGAAAAAACCCCACTCCACGTAACCGTAAGCCCCGCTTAGAGGGTAGAAAATCCCCCGCGGGGTCCAACGGGGCCCTAGCTCCCCCAAGTCAGCCTCTCCCCAGCCCCGGGAACCCACACGGCAGGGCCCCGGGGCCGAGCCGTTCCCCCAAAGCCCCGGCCTCAAGAAAAAAACGGGGCAGCTACGAAAATACCAAGGAAGGGAGCCCGCTGGCAGACTCTTACAACACAGCTGGAGGAACAGGCTCGAATGCCCCCGTCGCTACCTTGGAAGGGGAATTCCACGAGATCCCCCGAGTCTCAAAATCAATGACCAGATTAGATCACAACAGGGGAAAGACAAGAGGGCATGGAAGGAATTGAAGCAACCAACACCCCCAAGCCCCAACACCAACCAAAACGGGGCAGCCTCGGGGCTTCCAGGGAGCAAACAAATGAGAGCGTTGCCACCACCGAAGCTCGACGTGCAACACCTGTGCTGCCTGCACCCGCATAGTCAGCAGAAGACTGGGTAACCGAGTCACAACAAGCAGCAAAACTCACAGGACTCCGGACCGAAGATGTCACCAACCCCACAGGCAGCAGACGGAGGCAAAGACAGAGTCATCCTGAGACAAGAGGCGAGAGCAACCCTCAAACTCACTGGAAGCAAGGGGGGACTCCGGGGTCACATCCATCAGACCCACGCGCTCCCAGGGGTTTCCCAGGGTCCTGAGCATTTACTATAATAGGACTCGTGCTCGGGTAATCCCAGGCAGGATACTGCTAACTGGCACCCAAATCTACCAAACAACCTTCTAAGATCTGAACCCCCGGGACGTGTACACTCACAGGGACCTAGCAGGGGGAACCACTGGAAGAATGAAGAATACTCAGAACACAAGGGACACAAGGGGCAAGAACGAAGGCAGACCCCCCACCAGGTGGATAAACAAAAAGAAAAAGAAAACCCCCGCAAGAGGACAGCGTACCCAGGCGGAACAGAGCCAGCTGCCATGATTGGTAAAAACAAGCTGCGCAGTACCCTGCGCCCCACCAGTGCAAAACTGCCCCTTATTCTAAGGCGAACAAGGGAGATAGAACACCCGAGCACACAAAGGGTGGCCGAAAACCAAGCAGTAAATGGCCTAGCAGGGGCAGAACCCAAGGAACTTGTGGAAGGTTGCCCCAAACCCCAAGGACAGTACTTACAGGGCACCTAGGGAAGGAAACCCAAGTACTGGAGAATCACTCCTGGTTCACACACCAGGAGTGACAGTCACCACACTCTAGGTACAGTGCCGAAACAACCACCGGAGCCGGAGTACACGACCTCTGCCTCTGCCTCTATCATCAGCTGAAGAACTGATGATGGATAGCTAATGCGGTAGGTCTGGGGCACCCCCTTCCCCCATCCTGGTGAGGGGGAAGCTGCGCAGACAGCGGCGCAGCGACGTGTGATGTCATGATCGTTTGCTCCTTTATTTTAGGGGAGTTCTATCCACTTGTTTGGCTTGTGATAGCAATTTTCACCAGAATAGGGGTTTGTTTTGGGATGCTTACCTTTCTGGGTGCCTGACCCAGTCGATGGCAGACACAATGCTTCTAACCACACGGGGGTTTCTATAGCCCATTGCTCCCCTTGCCTCTCTGAGGGGGGGCCAGGTTATGGCTCATGGTCCCCGGTAGGCCCATAGAACTCCATACACATGACTGATGCCAAAGTCTGACATTAGCATATCAGCCTGGATAAGCTCCCGGGAGCCAAAGGGGCTCCCCCCAGAAAATATGAGCACCTGTCCAAGACAATTTGAAAGTTAATGCTAGATGGCAAATCCATGTTAACAAAAAATAAAAGCACTATATACTGTATGTAAAGATAAGGTCACAATTACGTGGCTGAAACTAACAACTTGACCCACACATATGAAACTAATATGACAAAGTTTTGATCCATTATGGGCTCTTATCAAATTGTATTACTGGAAGAGAGAAAGACAAGGCATAATGCAAATACTGTATAATCAACCTGTCCTCTTAAAAAGAACGTCGCTTTTGGCCGTTTGCCAGTATGGCCAAATTTGGACATAATTTGAAATTGAAAAAAATATGAAAATAAATTTCGGATTTTTTTTTTCAACAACAGTAAGTTAAGGGTCCTCTGATAGGTTAGGTGAGCAGGAAATTCTCATAAAGTTTCAAAACGTTAATTTAAAGTGTCCTCTTATAACCTCTGCGCGTACGCCGGATGACTCAAATAGAAAACGGAACAGAACGTCACTTTTGTGAGTCGATTTCATTTCAGATTACGTCCAAATTTGGCCATAGTGCGCATACGAGCCAAAAGTGACGTTATTTTTAGGAGGACGGGTTGGTATAATATACTTTAAAAGAAATTTAATCAGTACCTGGTTGCTGTTTGCAGGTTTAGCATTGGGATTAGTTCGTAATGCTGAGGGACGCATGAAGAAGAGAACTACAGCAAGGAGTGCCCACAGCATGCCCAGCAGCATCATGCTGTCCGAGCCCATCTCTTGAGTTGATGGTGTTGGTCCTGGCACTGAAGTTAAACAAACATCACAAGTTTTACCCTTCATATACTGCTAGAAATTATTCTGGGGATGAGTTTGGAGCAAAAAAATGAAGGAAACAAGGATTTAACAAAAATAAAGCTTTGAATGTAATAAAATGTCTCTTTCTGGTGGGTTCTCTCTTGGTCTCCCCGATCTAACCCTCCCCCCCCCCCGCCCTGGTTATGTGTAGGAGAGTTATGTTATATTATGTCACCAACCCCACTTGGCGAGCCCCCTCAGGGGATGGGAGGCTCCTTAGCGACTTTGGGGGGGGGGGGAGGAAGAACATCATCTTTCCCACACACACTTGATTGACAGTTGAGAGGCAGGACCAAAGAGCCAGAACTCAACCCCCACAAGCACAACTAGGTGAGTACACCATCACGATACCACTGAGGGTTCCAAGAAACCATTGTTACGTGGCACACATTCGGAAAATGATGGTCCACTGGTCTCGGAAAAGGATCCAGAAGGAGTTTACCTGCACAATAAACATCATAGGAAAGCTAACATTAGAGGTGAAGCACCATCAGCATCTAGAGGTAAACAGGGTTCACCCCCCCACATGTGACCTGATTACTGTATGAACATCCACCACTCAACCAAGGACAGATTACCTTCGTTTGAAAACCTTCATTTCCTTTGATGACAATACATCCATGGATATGAGTGTTTTTTAAAATATCATTACACAAAAAATCTCATACAATGCAATTCCCAAGATACTTAAAATCAAAGTGCTCGATAAAATACCCAACAAGTGAAAGAACCTAATGTCAGAGGACCACAAACACAGTGGGTTTCGTGTCTCCCCACCACACCATTACTGAAGTTCACAATAAAAGGGCAACAGAAAGGACTGACCAAAGCTTATATATTGTGCTCCTGAGGTGGCCAACATCCAGCACACTCACTCTTAATAACCTTCCCCACCAGAACCCTTACTCACCAACAGTAAGTCATCATAGAGGGCTTGGACCTCTTAAACAGCACAAGCAGACTTTCACTGAAAGACCACATGAAGAGGTTGGAACATGGCCTCAGCTTCAATGAACACCAGCAGGAACACTAAAAAGAGAAAGGCAAGGAAAGCAAAAGGGAAAATGCCCAACTGGACCCCTCAAACTGGCATAACACCGAGTGTTTGTAGGCAAATGTGCAGCGAACAAGTCGGTAACCAAATACCACGAGGATCAGAATGAACATCTTGTGCAGAGATTGACAAGATGATCAATGGCAGGAAACTCATTTCATACCAAGTGAAGACGACTTTTGCCTGAAGAGTTGAATGGAAAAATACATTTACATCAATACTGTCAAGGCTAAACAAACAAAAAATTTACACCCCATCCCCACCAACACACGTATAGCATCTCAACTATACCCTATATTCACCTAGTTGTGTCTAATGGATCGGGCTGTTAATGCTTGAACCCTGCCTTTCCAACCTAAGTTGTCACATAACTAGTGTCAATGTTTATCGAACAGCCAAAAAAAAATGTGAATGTAGTTAAAAATAAAACGAAAAACTCTGAAGAATAATGTCACAAAAGCTGAACTCGACCAATATACAAAACACTTTTATACAAATGATGAGTCACAATAACACGGCTGAAGATATTATGACCAAACCACACTGCAGACGTTGAAGAGATGGCTACGTTTTGGTCCGTCCTGAACCATTATCACAATCTACTTGATAATGGTCCGGGATGAACCGAAACGTCATCGTCTCGTCATCTTCTGATGTGCGAGTGGGTTATCACTTTTATACAAGGACACTCAAGCTATCCAGTAACAGCAGAAGCCTACTGAAAAAAATTCAAAAGGATAAATATTGTCACTATAGAAATGCGAACTTATGCCTGTCAAACAAGCAAGCACAGAGGCCAGTCGGATCACTTGTGAGATATCTCGAGTATTGGGACCCATGAGAATGAATAAGCAGCGACTTCACTTTTAAAGAACACAGTAAAGTAGTCATCACAACCACAAAAAAAGCCATTCCAATGATGATACTCTTCAAGACCCTAGTGCTCTCTAGCGTGGAATATTGTTGTACAATAACTACCCCATTCAAAGCTGGAGAAATTACTGATCTGGAGAATGTTTAAAGATCTTTTACTGCTAAATCCACTTGATAAAGTTTCCAAATTATTTTAAATATTTAAAATTTCTTAAACTGTATTCCCTAAAGCAGAGGCTAGAAAGATAATCACTTATTTACACTTTGAAAACATTAAGATGGACAGCTTCCAAAACTGTACATAGAAATGACTAGTCATGAGACCAGGAGGACTGGCAGGAAATACAACATTTTCAATGAGAAATAAAAACAAACCATTTCTATTAATCATCAACTTCTGTAAAAGAAAAGAAATTTTTAAGGTAAAAAAACTAATTTTATCTAGGCATTTTTGACAGTCTCTGAAATGGTTAAAACATAATATTGTATAATATACTCACATTCATTGAAGCACTCTGTGTCTGTACAGTAGCTCTGCGACTGTCGCAACTGAAAAACAAATTATTATATATACTAGATGGTATTAGAATCCTTGATGACAACCATGGAAAGAATACCCAGCCCATCACATCATAATACTCAAAAGTATTCTAAGAAAGTAAAATTCTATATTTATTCTTTTCGTGAACCATTTGAAGACTACTTTTACAAGTTCTTTTGGTTATCTCACGACTGATTTGTTAACCACTGCACTGTACCACCTGACTAAGCCCAGGGTATGGCTGAGCGCCTCCCGACAAGGGAGCGATGTTAAGATATCGTAAGATCCAAAACACACGCGCGGTAGGTTGGGTACGAGGAGACCCGAGGCCTCCAGTGAGCGGCAGCGATCTTTAACAAAATTTCCAGCATGCCCCAGGGCCGCAGGTAGGCTCAGTTCTGAGCGAGCAACCATGGCTGATGCAGATGCATCCAACTCCCAATTCCCTGTCAATCGTCTGAAACATTCCGTAAAGTACATAATACAGGTACAGGATTATTGAAACAAAGACAGCGCTGTTCCAAGCCCAGTGTTCAACAAGTACATGTTACGAGACAGGTTCCCGATACTTCTGCAGTGCCTACACTTTGAAAACATTTCAAATGTTGATCGAAATGATCGACTTTGGAAAGTGCGAAAGGTGTTCAGGGATATCAGAAAAATTTCATGATTACCTTGTACCAGGACAAAATGTTATCATCACTATGCCTTATTCAAAAGTGGGTAGTACACTTATTATTCCCCAATTATGGTCACTACAGTACAGTACTACATTATGTATATTCCAATAATGCCTGTTAACCATTGACAGATTTAATAAGTGACAAAGTAAATTGCAAGTGAAAGTAATGTAATACGTACTATGTAATACGTACGTGTCCGTATGAAAGTCAGATTACACAATATTTCAAGGTTTTGCTTGTATGTTCTGGAAAGATGTCAAACAATGTAACCGCTTCTTATTGATCGAGAGACGAGAGTGTGTGAATGCTGGCCATCTCGAGTGTGTGTTGTACGAGTCATTTCAGGGCAGTCAATCAGGTGGCTGGTTAATTGAGGTTAAATATTAGGTTGTTTCTTACTTTGCAATTCCTTCAACGAACATTGTGTATATTCCCGTACGGTGAGCACTGGAGAACGTGATTTTAAAGTTATTAAGTATACCACAAGAAGGTAACCAGTGTTTTAGTATAGTTCGGTTGATACTAACATAGGTGACCTCAAGCCTGTTTCTGATGTTTCTTCACTGGTCTGGGGAAAAAAAAAAAAGAGAGGTCGGGTATGTCTTGTTGATGACCAAGCCACACATCAGAAAGTGAAGAAATTACAACGTTTCTGTCCTGGACCATTATCAAGTAGCGTAATAGAAGAGAGGAAGGTACAGGCAAATGTATAAGGTAAGAGTGAGATGAGAGGTGAGGAGCAGGTAAAAGAAACAATCTTACCTTGTTTCTTTTACCTGCTCTTTACCTCTTACCTTCACTGCAAATAAAGAAAACATGGCTGGTTAATAGAAATTATGAGAGCCAAAGAACAAAAGATAAAAATAATTATTACACAAAGAAACGTGATGAATTAATGAGGAGCCTCATGGTGCCTACCGATTTTCAAAATAAAAATACTGAATAAATAAAGAAGGCAAATCCACAAACATAATACTACTGTATAAACAATCATGAAACTTTTCTAAAGGTGAGAAGAGACACACACTGAGGAGGGGTATAGCAGACAAATTTAAGACATAACCTTGCCAATTCTAAAATTCATGGAAAGCAAATTGCAAGTGAAAGAAAATCCAAAGATTACAAATGGGCGAGCGAGACCGATACAGAAAGGGAAATGCACGTAACACTAAACTGTTATACGTACACTTGTTTGCGAGATGAGATTTTCAGGAAAACTAGCCTTAATATTGACTTTAGAATATAAATTAGATTATACAGAAGTATCTAGAAAAATAGAAACTGCTCAGAGAGCTGGATAGAAATAAAACAGTTGAACCAGATGGAGTCTCACTTTGGATGCCAAGGGAATGTGCATTCGAGATTAGTGTTCACATCATCTTGTAAATATCCTCATAAACACGGAACCTAGCTGACATTTGGAAACAAGGAAGACCTACTACACTATGGACTTGTAACACTGATAAGCATGGTAGTAAAAGCACTAGAACAAATGATTAAAATCAAGAGTGCAGAGTACCTGGAAAGTAATGACAATGATGGTCAGAAAGTTAGGATTTTGAATGAATTGGCACAATAAGTATTTATCAAAAGAATATGCCAAGCCAGGAGGACTATGTAGCACATTGTGTAATTACCTAAGTGTAGTTACAGGATGAGAGCTACGCTCGTGTGTCCCATCTTCCCAGTACTCTCTCGTATAATGCTTAGATTGCAAAAGAAAATTTTATAATATTTTTTCAGCACCTCTGTTTTCTTAGCTTGAATCTGTGTCTTCTTGTTTGTAAAGTTGCTGGTTTCAAGAATTCCTGTCAATTTGGTCTATTCCTGTTAGTATTTTGTAAGTGGTGATCATATTACCTCTCTTTCTCCAACTTTTTGTTTTGGCATGTTTAACGCCTTTAGTCTCTTCTCGTATCTCTTGTGTTTCAGTTCCGGAAAAGTGCAAAATGCAACGGCATTTTGCAGCATGCCGCTGCACCTTTTCCAATTTATTTATGTGTTTCTTGAGATTTGGGCACCATACAACTGCTGCATATTCCAGTTCTGGTCACAAAAATCATGAACAGTTACTTTAGTATTTCCCCATCCATATAATTAAAAGCAAGTCTTAAGTTGGAAAGCAATGCATATGCTCCTCTCACAATGTTCTTTGAGTTCCTCTGGCAACAGCTTACTATCCAAAACCACCCCTAGGTCTCGTTCTTTATTAGAGTTCTGTAATTCCTCTCCACATAATTTGTAAGTTGTGTGTGGTCTATTCTGCCCGAAACGCTTTGCGTAATAGTGGCTTTAGGCATTGTATGTACTAGCTCTATCTATAAATCTATAAATTTTTGTAAAACCTCCTTGTAAATGTACCTTACCTGAATAAACATTTATCATTTATTATTATTATTTTTTTAGATTCCATATTCCATAACATGGCCTTTATTCAAATTGAATTCCAATTGCCACTCTACGCTCCAAGCACTTATTTTATCTAGATCAATTTGAAGGGCATTACTATTGTCTGCATCTCCTGTCTTCCCAAGTATTTTGGCATCATTCTCAAACAGGTTCGTATAATTTTGTATTCCTTCTGGTAGATCGTTTATGTAGACGATGAACATTACTGATGCAAGAACTGAACCCTGTGGTACTCTGCTAGTAACCCCGAAATCTTTTGCCTGAAACGCAGTGCGTATTAGTGGCTTTAGGCATACTATGTACTAGCTCTAACTAGAAATCCAACATTCTGTTTAACTCATTTCGTATGTATGTACTTTTACCTGAATTAACTATTACTGTATTATTATTATTACTATTTCACTCCTCCGGTCAGATACATTGTCTCTGATTACTGCCCTCATCTACCTGTCAGTTAACAAAATTTTCATCCATGTCAGAAGTCTCCCTGTCACCCCTCCATCATGTTCCAGTTTCCAGAGCAGCCTCTTATGTGGGACTATCAAAAGTATTTTTTGGTCCAGATAGACAATCAACTGTTATGACCATGCATACACCAGTATGATTATACTGAGATTGGTGTATGAGTGTGCTCAAACTATACAGTGATATCTTGGTTGATAGCCTCGTATCACGAATATTGTGTATATGATGTAATCTCAGGTTACCGTATATTATTCTTATTCTATATATTGTCAATGTGTGACATACATTTCCAAGTCTATATAAATTCTGTATCAAAGATGTATGACATGTAATTGTGGATATATATATTAGATGTCTAGTTATAGCAGTAGCCTAATGTCATAGATATTAAAAACATCCTTGTAAGTTTATTGTAAGAACATGTTGGAGAGTGTATACATTTAGTTTCCATATGTATTCATCACATGTATACTGAGAAGATTCCATTTTATTGTACCTAGCATTGTCCCATTGTCAGTACATTATATGAAATTATGGCACTGAAATGTTTTCCACTTAGACAATCTTATGATACACATGTTGTATATATTTAATATAATTATGATCTTTGTATGCATATGTATAACCGTTGGCGAATGTCGTTGAATCCTTCCCCCCCCTCCCCTCTCCCCAGTGAAGTACCAGCTTTGCCAGTGTTGCCATCTCGTATCCATGCAAATTCTTTGTGTACTTATTTTGTCTTTCATGATAATTTCTTTAATGTATTGAATTATTATTATATATCATTATGTAAGGTTGTGCCTTATACTCTTAAAGTTGTTGTATGGTAAATTAGAAGTTCCCGAGAGAGTTTATATTGTAAATGAGTTAGCGAGATTTGAAAGTTGACGGTCAGTTGACTTATTGGAGTTACTTACAGTGTCGCCTCTCGGCAAGCTTGCCTCAAGACGTCACTATTCTCCGATCTCCTCAGGCGAGCCGACCTGTTAGGGTTTAGTCCGTGATTTGTGACCTTATTTGGGTAGTGTTGTCTGCTAGAGTTATACCCATGTAATTGTAGGTATTTATATGGATCATTTTCAGCTGTTGTCCATTATGTATACAAGGTGGTAGGTGATTTTTATGTGTCTTAGTGAGGCGATATATTTTGAGGAACATGTGAAATGCCAAGGTGCTGTATGTGATATTATTCCTGTTACCTCATGTGTTATTGGTTGACACACCACCATCCTTGTTGGTATTAGCAGCATATAGGCACTAGTGTTCCACTGCGCTAGGCAAAGTTCCTGGTGTCAGCTAGTGTTCATTGATGCAGTTTACAGACTTGTTTGATGGATCATGCCCAGTTGTTGAGAAGCTGGATATATAGTGCTAGTGTGTGTGATATTAGTAGAGTGTTTTATTTATTACTGTTGTGGAAGGTTCTTAATGCCAGTAAACTGGAATATTTG